GGTTTTGCTGGCCCCCCTCCTTACTTCACCAAGAATCAAGAATTCATTCATTTCGTGGTCGCTAAGCCCAAGACGGCCTCCGACCACCACATCTCCCACCAGTCCTTCTCTGTTTGTAAACAGCAGGTCGAGCGAGGCACCTCCCCTGGTAGGCTCACTTACCAGCTGTGTCAGGAAGTTGTCTTCCACACACTCCAGGAACCTCCTAGACTGCTTCCTCTCTGCCGTGTTGTATTTCCAGCAGACGTCCGGGAAGTTGACGTATAAAGGCATATAGAGAATTTTTTCCTGAACACGTGATTTCTCTTTTGTGGGAACTTGTTGACTCAAAAGGCAGTTAATGTCTGAAGTTGAATGACCTCTTCATGCTTGTGAAAATTGGGCTACTAAAATTTAGACTTGAATCCTGTTGCATGGGTGAACTTTCTCAGTAACAGCTTGAGTACCGATTTGATAACTGAAGAGAAAATCGGAGCAGTTGAAATGGCTCCATTAAAACTTCAGCACAGTAAAAATAAATGCAGTGTGGACTAAGGCTTTGATTCTTTTTCATCATGTTAGTTTACTCCAAGAGAATGAATGATTGAAGTTACTGGAGCATCTGTTTGGCAAAAGAAATTGTGAACCTGTGGTTTAATGAACTGCTTTGTCCTGGTGGACTTCCTTTCTTGAAAGGAGGTGGTATAAAATGCTGAGCTCAGAATGTAGTTGCTGCTGTGGAAAGTATTTTAGGTATTGAACAGAAACACATTGAATCTTAAGCAAACACTGACTATACCTATTCTGGCATATTTACTGTGTTAATACAGAGGGAAGATTTAGTGTGAAGACTCCGCACTGCAGTGTAGCAGAAAGATTGCATATGTATGATGGTACATATCTTTATTGGAAACTAGGATACCAAAGCTAAAATCAAATTCTTCAATTGATTGTCACTGTTAAGATTGAGTAGTTTGTGGGGTTTTGTTTTTTCTTTGGGTTTTTTTTTTAATTGTTGCTTTGCTTTTTGAGTAGTTACTGGTATGGTAAGTGGTAGAAATTTCACTTATGCATTTCTTCTTAAATTATCTTTATTAGGAGGCTTATCTTTTGAAAGTGTAGACATAAGTGCAGTAATTTAACTTAATTTTTTACCTGATGGTCTGAATCAGTAATCAGACTGCTGAAGTACCATGTCTGATTACCCTTTTTTTTTTTTTCCCCAGTAAATCTGAATACACTCAATGCTCATATCTAGTTAAATTCCCAAAAGATTGATATACCAGTTACATAATTATTAGGTCAATTTTATAGGAAGTGGTTTATTAGTGATAGTATTCTCTGAAGAATGGTTGATCTATACCTAGCTTTGATGTTTCTGCTTAAAGCATGCTTTTGTAATGTTTCCACATTGCTGTGAATCAGCAAGAATACAGTTATTCAGAAGAAAGTAGGAGTTCTCTTTGAAAAGGCAAGCTACTTGCTGAAGAAGGCTTAATGTGAAGACTTAGAGGCATAACCTTCTTGTGTACCAACTAATGATTGCTTTGTTTTTAGGTGCCTTAGCTGGACCAATTGTTGATCCACATGTGACAGCAGTTTGGGGGAAGAAGGTTGCACTGAAATGCATAATCGATGTAAATGAAACAATAACACAAGTTTCTTGGGAGAAGATACATGGTAAAAGTTCACAGACTATTGCTGTTCATCATCCCGAATATGGAATATCTGTTCAAGGAGAATACCAAGGAAGAGTGTCATTTAAAAACTACTCACTTACTGATGCAACAATCATCTTAAAAAATGTAAGCTTTTCTGATGCAGGAGAATATATTTGCAAGGCAGTTACATTCCCGCTTGGAAATACACAGTCATCAACAACTGTAACAGTACTAGGTAAGTCAACTTCTTTATGAAAGGAGGTGAAATTAATAGCACAAACTTGTTAGTGAAATTCAGCAAACTTAATAATGCGTTGTATTTTACCTTTTAACCCAGTGACAATCCAAAAATATATTCTCCAGTTTTTCATAATAGGTGTCTTGGTATTCTTACTAACTTTATTGAGGTCTTTTGGGTCTTGCTTCTTCAGAACGTGCTCTTTGATTGTCCAGATATTTAAAATAAATAAGCAATTCCTATTTAGGCATTGTGCTAATCTAAACATTTGGAGAGTGCTGTAGAACTTAAACCTGGCAATGCTGATACTGGGGACCTCTGTGTGTGTGTGCTGAGAAGCTGCCAAACACAGCTTTAGCTACCACCTTGCCTAAATTCCCTGATAAATTTGTTGCTAATATGATAAGTTGATGTAGCTGCTTGGGGTTGGTGATGTAAACTGTTCTTTGCACAGTATAAATGTAAAGCAAAACTGCCTAGACTATACTGGGAGTTGTGGGAAGAAGGAGGCAATTTAAGCCCTTGACTGGTGGTGGATAGTCATAATGTGAAGCTTATATAAACTCAGGTTTTCACACAAACTAATTTTGTCTGTCTTGTTGAGGGTTCAGCACTGCTGTCATAAAGGGCTAGTACTGAATCACAGGTAGACTTAGGTGATAGTGCAGTATGAGGTAAAATGATTACTCTATCCTGAAACTTGAAAACCTATTGACTTGCCATCTCCTTATAATATTATACCTTCTTATAATAGAATAAGTTACTTCTGTATCTGCTGCAAATAGTCAAGTGATATTTTCTACACTCAATGAGTCCTCAATGACTATTTTTGTGTTTAAAAAAAAAAGCTTTTTAGGATCTTCTTGGTCTTTGATCTCTGCTTTCCATGTAGTAGAATACTATGAGATCAATCAGATGGCTGTAGCACAGTATGTCAACTGGTCTTCGCCACAAGGTGGGGCAAAATAAACACATCAAAGCAAGTGGCTTAATCCAATTTGAAACAAGTAACTTGACCAAAGAAGTTCCACCTGATATACAAAGCATGTAGCCTTATGGCTCTCTTTTTCACCTGTCTTCTGTCTGTACTACAAGGGGCTATGTCTGTGGCTATTGTAGCAATCTTTAGACTTCAGGTTTCAGCTATTATGCTTTATCAACATACAGTGGGAGGTTCTTATTGTTCTCCTTCATATCTTCTAGTCAATCCCTACTTCTACGATTTTTTTTTTTCAAATCACATTAGTACTTGTGTGCATTTTGCCTTTCAAATTTTAGGTTTATGGAGAACATGAGGAGGAACTTTTCTCTCCTCAATTAAGGGAGAGATTTTTAGAACAGTGGAAGAATGCAGTCAGAATAAAGCTGACTTTAAGTCACATCAGGTTTTAAATTTTGGTTGGAACTCTTCCATGCCCGAAGACTGAGCTGAGCTTGGGACTACTGAGCTCACTGAACTCGTGTCCTGTGGCTGAAACTGTTTCCAGTCCAAGCAGCATTGCCTTTTTTCCTAGTCCCTGTCTGTTCCTACTTAGCAAAAATGTTTCCTTCCTATGTGTAGTGGACATAATTAACTTAATCATTTAGTAGGTGCTTCTACACTGTAAGGCAGAGACACTGAAGACAAATGGAGGAAAAAATAACTACAGGATAAAATGTCCTGTATTCTGCCACAGTACAGTGATCACTTAAGACCATATTTAGAATCTCTGTCTTACGCTACTTAAGCTTAACAGACTTACCACGTTTGGTGACTTTGCTCACTCCCAGTTTGCTTTGCTTAGTGCTTCATGTTGTCTTAAGGAAATGCACTGTAAAAGAAGAGGTTAAGACAGTGAAAATGTGAAAATGCTTTTTGGGTCAAACAGGTGTGTTGATCTTGTCTAAGACTTCGTTTTTTCAAACTTGCCTTGTTAAACTAGGGCAAAAAATTGCAAAGAACTGTATGTTAAGCTGTTTCTTTCTCAAGATGCTGACTAAACTGGCCAAAATGGTGTTTGAAGGCAGAAGAGATGGTGTGTGACAGGGTGGCTTGCAGAGCTAACATAATTTTATGTTACTAGGTTGAACGCTGTACATGACTATTTTAAATACTGGGTTTGGTTTGACTCCCACTGTCTCGCTAAGCTAGATTTCTCAGCATGGGTATTGATGAAATAGATCGTGTTCTTCTGCAGGCAAGCTCTACCAGTGCTACAAGTGAAGAATATGAGCTGCACAGATGAGAAGGGCAAAGGTAGATGTAGGTCTGTCACCGTGAACAGATCCCAGACACACTGAGGTAGAAATTCTTGCATCTTCCTTAAATTCCTTATTGCATGTCAGACAGTATGGAAAATGGATCCTTCTCAGACAGTTCTAATAAAGTAATGGTGTTTGAAACATGCTAGCTGCTGAGATGTACGCATTCCTTTTAAGCACCACACAATACTCCAGGCTAAGAATAAGTATCAAGTAGATAACAAATGAGTGAACTGACTGGTCTTAAAACAAACAAAACAAACAAAACAAACAAAACAAACAAAACAAACAAAACAAACAAAACAAACAAAACAAACAAAACAAACAAAACAAATTAATTAGTGGGCAGGATAAGTTACACAGAAATACAAGGCTGCTGGTTTTGAGGGGAGAGAAAATAAAAAGTAGAAATACTGTTTTGGAAAGAAGTTATTCAAGTAAATGTCAGTTGTGATGAAGAGGCTGACAATTCCCGGTGTCATGCTGTTGCCAAGGAATTAGTGAATTTAATGGTAAGTGGAAATAAGCCTGTTTGTGTTGTAATCATGCCAATTTTGTCCAGACCTCCTGTGCACAGTGGCAGAAGAAAATTAGTTTTAAAACTAACATTAGCAGTTGAAAAAGGCTTATGAAGTACTTAAAACCAGGAAGAAACTTTGAGGCCTGGAAACTTAATGGAATAGGATTTAAGACTTTTTTTCCTGACTGCTTTATTATGTTGTTTTTCGATAAAGAAGTGTAAGGACTTAAGCAACAAGAGATCCCTGATTGTCCATGTGAATGTAAGGTGAAGCTAGGGTAAGTAGGGTTAAATTAGATAGTGGTCATGAATCAGTAAAGGGGCTGGCACAGATATGCAAATTAGTTGAGACTTCCTAAACAGCTGCCTATCTAGCTTCCATACTTCAGCCACCATTTCTTATAACTCAAATATAATTCATGCTGTAATACTGCTTTGGATCTGCGGGACTATTCTTCTCTGAAGATATATGAATGAGATGATTCATGCACACTGACCTTTTGATACACTGACTGAGTGGACAGAGGTTATCTACTCTGATTATTTAAAGGGGATGGGGGAAAGCGCCATTGCCTTTGAACTCTTACGTTGTGGAAGCAGGTCCCTTCTGCTTTTGGATCTTTGTGGGGTTGGTGGCTTCCTTTCCCAAACTAAGTGTTGTCCCCACCATCTTTTTCATTTGACCTGAATAGAGCATAATGTTCCTACTGAATGGGTGCAGCAGCTTCTCTTAATGTTCTCCCAATCTCCTTCGTGTGTACCCTACCATGATCACCACTGTGAGCAATGAAAGTCTGTAGGGCATACTTCGGTATGATTCATGTGGGACAAAAGAGGACTGCTACAAGAGTCTGTATATAGAAGTTACACTTAAAAAAAAGAAAAAAAAAAAAAAAAAGCCAGCCAAAAACCCCTCCAAGCCCCAGACTTTGGGTAATCTTTTTTCCAAGTTGAAAATCAGTGAAATCGTTTCCCATTGTGAGAGGTGAGATGCCAATGGCCCCTTGTAATTAGGGATTCATTCACAAGGTATTTATCTTAATCCATGAGTGAAACAGCTAGAAAGGCTGTAGAATGAGTAGCTGTGTTTCTGCTGGTTTTGGTTCAGTTGCTGGGACAAAGTACTGCTGAAGGATAGACTGTAGAAATAAGTATCATAACAGCAGTTGCTTTCCCCTTTTTAGTATGTGGCTATTTGGTTACCTTGTAGTTGATGTTTAGTCCAAGAATCATGATTTATGGGAAGATGTGACAGTAGAAGCCTAACCATTTGTGAAGTATAAAAAAACCTAAAGCACCAAAACACATTGGACTGGTAATAAGTATATTTTATGAAGTTGAGTAGTTTTGAATAGTTCAACTTTGTGTCTTTCTGACAAGCGTAAAACCAAAAATTACACAATGAAATGAAACTGGCCAATCTCACAAATTTCAGATATCACTTGAGAAAGCAAAGTATGCCTTTTTTCATAATAATGATAATCTTAGGAGAAACTAGGCTTTTCAAACCAGTCTATATCCTGTTCTCTGGCTATTATCACTTAATACTTCAAAGACTTTTTTCTAAAAGCACGGTAAGTGAAGCAGCATACTGAGTAGTCTGCTTTGGGTCTGGAGATCTCTGCTACCTTAGTTAAGACTTCTTGTTGACTTATGTATCCCTTCACAAAGGGATAGAGGAAAAATTCTGGAGTTGTGTACTCATTTATTTTTGAGGAAAATTCAAAAGAATAGAATATATGAAACTTTATTTCCAGCTGAAATGATTTGGGTCTTTAAGTTCTGGCATGAAAAGCTAATGATAGCTGCTAATTTAGTTTATTTCACTGTGATGGAAATCTTGGGGGGGGACAGGGGGGGAGGATACACCAAAAATTAGTATCTTTATGCTTGTAAGACACAATGTAAATTTGGGTGTTTACTTCTGCACTTCAGTAATACTATAGAAGCTATTGAAATGTTTACTACTAGTGATTTTTGGGGGAACAAGGTGGTAATGTTTATGTTAAATCAGGGAAACCAAACTATGGGTCAAATAACAAAGCTATACAATGTCAAGTTCTCCATACTAGGTTTTAAAAGCTTTTTTCAGATGATAGAATGCTTCATATGTACATCAGTTCAAATATCCAAGCTTATTGCAAAAGCTTTAGTTGTTGGTAGCGTTGGAGAGCAGGGAATCAAATTTTGAAAGAAGCTCTGTTAGAGATGCTTCAGATCTAGAAGAATGAATATAGGACTTGGCAGAAAACCCCTGCTGTTGGCTTATTTACAGTAGGGTCACTAATAAATCACAGAGGGTAGGCATTCAGAGAAACAAAATAGAAAATAATCCACTCTAAATATCAGCCCAAACAACCTTTAATTTGGTAATGAGGTATATTCTTTAAGCACTTGACATACTTTAAGTATAGAACATAAAACATATTTTTATAAGGTTATCCATTTAGCAGTTGCCTTTCCTTTTAGTGTAATTGAACAAATAATAAACCACCTTCTTGAGACACTGAGCAGAGTTAGACTGAGCAGAAAAAATCAAAAACTGATTCTTGCAGTGAATTCACTCAAGCTGAAAATATTTGTTACCCAGTTACCTCTTGAAAGTGTAGGTAGCTGGAGAAGTATCTTGCCAGGTATTGTGAACTCTGCTCTATTTCATTTTAAGATATGTGGGTCAGCTTCAACTTCTTGGAAAGAAATTCTGTGAACTAAACTTCTTCTTCTTGTAGGATATGGAAAGGCACAGAAGTTGCAAGAGTTGTCTCTGCTTTGTGATTAGTGAGAGCTGGTCCACTGAGGTGGATTCTGAAGCGTTATGGTGTGTAGTGATGTCTTCACTTCAGAGGACTCTGATAGCCTCATTAGATCAAAAGACAAGGATTATGTAATAGGCTAGTATGCTACTGGGAAACGTGTTATCTTCTAGTACTGATGGTAGAAATGGGCCATCCTAGAAAGCAAAACTTTGGTTTCTATCTGAAGCACCAAATGGTATTTCTGACTTAGGCTGCAACTGGTGGATGGCTTGTACAGGGCTGACAGAGACTTCTTAAATAAGAAAGAATTTTTTAAAAAACTTTTCAGTCTATGGTCCTCAACAGTAGACTTGTACATCAGGAACTCAACTTCCTTTTAGAAGGAAGTGTGTTCTCTAAGCCTCTAAAGTTTTGGGGTGAGCAACAGGTTTACAAGGAGGTCAATCCTTTCACTTGCGGATTTCTTGAGTCTTGGATGTAGTATTGAGTTCAAATTTTTTACTTCCATAGGTGATGGCCATCTATATATAGACAGAATTTTAATCATATATGGAAACAATTTATTTGCATTTCAAACATACACAAATTTTATGTAAGAATTATGTGTATTTCTGTGTACATATTAGATCGTATATAATGTATATATAATAAATACTTTCCTAGAGGTTAACTGTCCTTTTCAGCATGGAATCAATTTGATTGTTGTACTGATCAACAGAAGCTTAAACTCTTAATGTTGGGTGTTAAAACACTGAATTAAGTAGCTTTGAAATGACACAAATTGACAGTATAGATTAATACTTCAAGTATAATGCTTGAAAGCGCAGCAGAATCCAAGCCTTTTTTAAAAATCAGGGTATAGTTTCAACCTAATATCTTAAGCTGTTTGTCGTCAGACACAGCAACTGGAGCGCTGTAGTTGGCGTTTTGAACCTAACCACTTTGGGTTCCCTGTCAATGCATTCAATGTAGTGAATGAGCAACATTCACCTTTGTCCACTCATTAAAGTTTAGCAGTATCAGCAGGCCAAAGCTTTGTAGACCTATTATCTCTGATATATGACATGATCTTATTTCTAGGTTATCTGATTAGCGTGGGCTTTTGCAAATGGATTAGATCTTGTCTAACTCTTTTACATAGCAACAGTTTCAAAAATGTGGAGTCTTTTTTGTTTAAATTTACTTTTTTTCCCCCCTACCTAGTTGAACCTGTTGTGAGCTTAACAAAAGGACCAAATCCTCTAATAGATGGTGCAAATCGGACAATAGCAGCCACTTGTACAGCAGCCACTGGAAAACCTGCTGCAGAGATTGACTGGGAAGGAGGTCTTGGTGAAATGGAATCCAGCTCTACTTTGTTTCCAAATGAAACGGTGACAGTTGTAAGTCAGTATATGATTGTCCCTACACGATTTGCAAGAGGAAGACGTATAACTTGTATTGTGAGGCACCCTGCTTTGGAAAAAGAGTTAAGATACCCTCATGTGTTGGACATACAGTGTAAGTATTCTGTGAGGTAGTTACTACTTGGTATATATCTTCTAACCACCCTCTTTATCGGTGTATGCCTTCTGCAGGAAGGAGACAAGCACTTACTGCTTCAGGAAAAAAAAGGAAATTAAAACTGTATAGCAAAGTATGTGATAAGAGGTAGGTCAGGCAGGAGTAGAAACCTAGGGTCTCTATTAACAAAAAAAAAATCTAGTCACAAAGCTAGAATACCGTTATGTTTCTACCATTTGTTTTGGATATTGGCTCATGGGTAAACATTTATTATCTGTGTTTATATTTAACATTGAAAAGATTACAGACAAAATAACAAACTCAGTTGATCCATAAACTATTTATAGTGCCTTAAACTTCAGCAGTATTAAAAAAGAATCCTAATTAAGATTCATGTTTGAGATGACAAGCTGAAAGTAGGTCTTATGGGGGTCAGTAAGTTATTTTCAAATTACTAAGATTTTTCCACTCTAATTTGCATAGGAAACAAGGAACATAATATATATGTTACTAACACTTGTTACTCAGTTTCAGGTTGCTTGTGTAGTTCAAACCTGTACTAGGCTTGTTGAACAAATTTGTGGCTTTAAAACACATGAATACGAAGTGAGATGGCTTACAATGCTGCTTAGCTAAAATCAGTTAAAACAAATAAGTTTTAGGCATGTGATCCGTTTTTTGTTAGACGATGCATACGTGACCAAAACGAGCTATTTTCAAGTTCTTCCTCTGGTATGCTGTCTCAGCTGTGTGCTGCTTTAAAGTTCCGAAATCACAGAAGTCTGTCAATTCAATTAGAAGAAATGTAGTGGCTGGAAAAAGTCAATGTTGCTATTTTGCTTTGACTAGAATCTCTTGTGGGTTTGTTTTTGTTCTCTTTAGTAAAGAATCACTTATTTGGACATAAAATAGTGATTAGTACTGGTTTACTTTGTCAATGTTGAAATAAAGTTCTGGGTTGAAGTGCCATTGATACAGAAATGGACGTAAAGATTATTTGTTCCCATTATTGTCTCAAACAGTGAATAAGAGAATGAAGTTCTGCACTTAAAGTGAAATGAGGGGCCAAGTTGGTCTTAAACTTATTTTTATCTGAAATTAGTGCTAAGGCATGTTTCGGAACTTCAAACAAAATTGTGTAGTAAGCAACGCAGCAGCAAGCGAGAAGCAGATATTTTATGTCTGTGTTCTCTAGTCTTCCTTCAGTTTTCCCTTACGCTTACAGCTTTTGCAATGACTCCTCCATCTCTGCTGTAGGAGCTTATACCAAATCATACTGGTTCTTCTGTTCTCTGGGTTCTGAATATTTCAGCTAGGTCTCTCTGGCTTATCTGAAGTGGCCTCCTAGCTTTTTAGAGCTATAACAACATAATTCTACATTATGATGCAAGTGGATAACTGTTAACCTTTTTAACTGGTATCTGTGAACTTTTTAATGACTTCTTAATTACCTGGCTTCTCAAAATGCTGTTTCTGATCCTTTGCTGTACCTTGTTAGCGAGATGTAGCTCTAAATTACCATTCCTCACTTCCAAAAAACATTAAACTGATTCTTTTCTTCTGAAGTCCTTTCACTTTAGCAAAGTGCTGTATGTTTGCTGAAAACACAGTGTGGCAGTTGCACCGATTAAAACAACTTACTGTTCCTAATCTAATCCACTGCTGCATATTATGCTGCAGCTTGGAACTGTATTGGTGTTCTCTGTGTATTTTGTTCTTGTTGGTTGTTGGTTTTTAAATTAAAAAACAAACAAACAAAACCAAAAAACACCTTCTGCTCCACTGAGCTGACCATTACACACAGTTTGTGTTTAAAGAAAACATTGTGATTGTTGATAGGTTAAATCTTTTTTTGTCAGATGCCCCAGAAGTTTCAGTAACTGGCTATGATGGAAACTGGTTCATTGGAAGAGAGAACGTTCAGCTCAGATGTAATGCTGATGCTAATCCATTACCTATGGAATTTATGTGGACCAGGTAACTATTTATAAAAAGGGGCTTGGCACATGATTAAAATGATATTATCTCTTAGTTTACAGTAAATACCTGTTTTGAAAACAAGGAGTATATGATTTGCATTGGGTTGTAATGGTATTACCCAGCCTTTTAAAAGGAAGATGCAAGATGTGTGTATGTATGAATATGGGTGAGTGGATATTTTGCAAATTTACAAGCCTGAACAGTTTGTCATTACTCTCAGGATAAAATATTTTGTAGTTACATAATAAAGTAGACTAAACAGCGTATGTTGCAGTATATAGAGCAAAGCCCAATAAATCTAGTAGGGATCCAACTATTGTTTCATTAGTTCTGTTTTATTATTACTTAAAGTAGATTGTAAACACTTGAACAGACTTTTCAGTATCTGCATTTTAAAATCTGGAAATTATAGTTGAGATGGCAGATACCGCTTACTGAATTATAGAATTTGTCATGTTTTTCAAAAGTGCTCAAGTAGTTGCCAAGACAGATAAATGCGGTGTTTTGCGTAGTGATGGAAACTAGGTCTTGAACATATGTCTCCAGTTAAAAAAAAAAAGTCTTACATAACAGCTGCATTTCATGAATATATGGATTGGGTGGGCCCTGCTCTGAAACTTACTGCTTTGCTTTTGCAGCCATGGATGTACTTTGGGCAAGAGACAGGGGAAGACAATAAAAGCAAGCATAGATCAAAATCTGTCCTGTGAAGAAGAAAAAAATTAAATAAACCCACCTATTTTAAATTGATTTGTTGCCTGTAGAAACAAAGGAAGTAACTTTCCTAAGGACAGTGTAAATTTGTATGTAGCTATGTTACAATGCTTCTGTTGGTAAAATCACAGGAATACTTACTGATGTGAAGCTGTAATCCATTTCCCTACCTTCTCAATAGTAGATATAATTTAGCATATAGGAACAGTAGTCATAATGTGGTTTGAAAATGTGGTATTGATAAGTTTGGAATTGATTGATGGCAGTTTCACAGGAAACAAAACATTACTATAACTGACTCAATCCTAAAAGCAGCCATTGAAATCTTAAGTCAGTATTGCAGCTAACTCTAGTCAGAATGGCGTGGCTACACTAAAGTAAGTTTAGTAAAATGTATGCCTTAGTAAAATGCGTGCTTTACCTATGTGCTACAGTAGGCTGCCACTTCCATCTCATGCTTTGCTCAAATTCAGTGTGATGAGAGATTTCAGCACAAAAAAATTTCTATGTTTAAAAAAGCATGCCAGGCTCTCAACAACAAGTACCACTTGTTTCTTCAGATGAACTGGGTTCTCAGTTCTCTGATTTGAATTTGGGATTTATGCAAGAACTAATCAATACAACCTCTATTTCCAATTCCAGGAGAAATATACGCAACACTTTAAAGCACTCAAGCTTCAGAGGTCACTTTTAAACTTCTTGAGGTTAAAACTGAACCAACTTTTACAAGAAAAGCTTAATTTTCTGGAAACTAGTGTACCTTTTTGTTTGAACAACAGCAAAACCCATCCAAGAAGCTGTAATGCTGGTGAATGAGGAACTTTGGGGGGGGGAGGGGAGGGGAAATTCTATGCAAAAGAAGGATGGCTTGAGTGTTTAAGGAAATGGAAACTAGCTGTATTGAAATTGTGTGCTATCTTACTGGTTTCAAATTATAATAGCTTCTAGAACTACCACACCAAAAAATCTTTATCCCTTGGAAGCAAAGGTGACATTGTATTTGCTAGGATACTAATATTTTCATGGTCAATAATATTTTAAAATGTTGCCCGTGTGAGAACTTTATTAGAATAGAGCTTTCAAACCAAATGACTATTTTATAATGGTTTTTTAAATACTTCTGGTACAATGAATTATGAAGTACATGCTTAATCACTTTTATCAACTTTATATGGCTGAAGCAATTCTGGGCAATAATCAGTGTCAGCAAAACAATGGGAATGTTGTCTTGAACCTACATTTGTTGGAGATCATGTTTACTCTTAACTGTGGGGGTCTTTTCTATTTGAGTACCTATTTTCAAGTGTCAGGGGTGGCGCTTTTGTTCGATACTACTTATAAAATTGTACTTGCTAAATGCTTCCAAGATACCAAGACCTGGTGATCACATGTTTAAATATTTACTTAGTCCTGCTTAGCTGTTAATAGATATTTAGTTAAAAGGAAGATGGGATGCAATGGGCATGAAATTACACAGGTTTTTAACAGGCAGTTGGCAGCTCTGTTAAAATAGTTCCAGTGCCTCTGCCCTTTCCCCTTTCTGTGTTGTGCTTACACAGTTGTTACTGCAATCACATGCAGAATGCTACAGGGAAATGATAGATTTGGAAAAGTAGTTGATTGGAGACAATTTTTTTTAACCAGTTATTTCCCCAAATGTATCACCAAGCACCAAATTCAGTTTCAGTGCTGTAATTTAGATGGAAAAGTGATGGGGGATGAGAAAAGGCAGGTTGAGAGGGAAGAAACTCCTTGAACTCCTGCTCAGAAATCCTAATCAAAATGTCCTGTAAGTTAAACGTGTACTGATAGAAATATTTATTGTGATAGCTCAACTGGATGGAAAAGAACAGGAAGATAATCCTGACAGCAGTGTAACTGCATCTTAGTTGACTGTTAGTTTTTAGAGCTTGAGTTGGGTTGCTCCTCCAAGTTCATTTGAGAACTTTTTTTTTAGTTGTAGTAGTGGTCATTTGTAGACAGCTTGCTAGTGCCAGCAGACTTGACTTTTAAAGAACTTGGCACAGAAATTAAAATAGTACATGTTCAGGTGGACACTGAGAATATCCAATGAAAGCCCACTGAGAATGTCAGAGCACAGTGAAAAGTTCACTTTCTAGACTACTGCAAATATTATTTTAAACTAGTTATATTTAGACTTAAAGATTCACAGTTGAAAATTTAACTGTTTTGTTCTAGGTTGGATGGACAATGGCCTGAAGGATTGCTGTCTGTCAACAATACTCTGCAGTTCAGCAGCCCATTGACTTACAACTACACTGGGACTTATATCTGTAAGGTGACTAATTCCCTTGGTCAGAGAAGTGATCAGAAGACTATCTACATATTAGGTAAGTCTTACTTCTCAGCAAAGATAGTATGTTAACTTCGAATTTTTTTTGGTCAATGGTTGAAATAGCAAACTGAAGAGCCAGTTGATGCATAAAATATTATACCTTTTAATTGTGTGAGAAGCTATGGAAAGTACGGATTTGAGAGCCACAGTAAAACTTGGGATTAAACTGACTCTTCAGTAACAGCAACATACGGTGGAAATTCTTAAGGTTGAGGTAGTTCCCATAGTGCTTCCGAGACTATTACTTCCTCTTGGTAGGTGAACTTTGTTTTCTTTCCAGTGTTAGCCTGCGTTTTGGCAAGACATATTGACGGCAATAAACACTACCTTGTCTGTAATAAATTGAAAAAACAGATTTTAGTGGGAGAGGAACAACATTTAGAAAAGTCAAAGATGCTCTGCTTTAAGGAAGTTAGGGTTATGTTCTGAATGTGTGTGGTATACTCCAGTTACTCGTTGTCTCCTTTTCTCGGGATGCAGGTATCCAGTAATCATAAAGTTAAGTATCTCATGCAGAACTCTTGCTGCTCTACTTCGTATAATATGGCAAATTTGTGTATCTGTTTAGCACCACTGCTGTTGGAAAACATCCTTGTATCTATTAATGCAATGTAATTTATGTTTTACTACGACACCTTTGTGAAAGAATAGCATGACTTAGGGTATATGTGAATAGTGCTCTACAAGTGTGAAAAAACTCTCCAGATTTCCGTAATGGATTAGCTAATACCTAGCTTGATCAATAAGTGCTAATATATTACCATTTTTTAAGGAAAATTATACAGACATAAAAAAAACTTCATTCTGTTGTATGGTGTTGCTGCTCGTCAGTAAGTTCTTGACGTTGGTTATTCCACAATGTGAATTAAGTGTCAGAGTGCATGTTGGCCAGTTACAGAATACAAACATAGATGACTTCTTCGTAAGAACTTAAAACTAAATATGAACACGTAAGGGTTGAGATGAGGATGAAGTAAAACTGAAGGTACAGGATGTTTGAAGCCACATCTGTCACAATTCATATTTGATAGTTATCTGCATCTTTAGAACTAAGATGGTGTTTCAGTCAGACTGACGTAACTACACTGCAGGCCATTGTGGAAAACTAGTAAGTTCTAATTAACTGGCTAGTTAACAGGCTAGTTAACTGGAAACTTCTAAATAGTTTGAGACAGTGGAATTATTTGTAAACAAATTATATAAAGTTCTAGCTATTAAAAGACTGTTAAGTGCTGCAAACTAATATGAAAGTCACTTCTCTGAGAAGTTACTTTTGGATGCTTGGTTCTAATGTTTCCTTCATGGCTGTGTAACAGTCTCAAAGCAATTACGAAGACTTGTCACGTTGTAAGAAATATCAAGTCAAAAAAATTAGAATATCATCATTAAATAGGATGAAATATTCTCCTGGAATGTAACATTCAAATACACTTACTGAGAAAATAACAATATGGTTTATAGCTCTGTTCTCATCCCTGTTCTAACTGTAAGGAGGGGGGAAGTTTTTTCAAGTCCACCACTTTTCAAGTTGTTGGTTCTAAGAATACGATCTGCTGTTAAGTAGAATTCATGCTTTCTACCATGACTGTCATGCATGAAAATATAAGGCTATCATTCAAATTATGTTTGTGACTAACAGATAAAGTGGGCTAACTATGAAATCTTGTATGATGTTTCCTAAAATGAATCAAGTTTTTGAAAAAGCATAATAGAAACACATGCTAGTTGAGCTGTGGTCATGGCTTATGTTCTAGGCAATGACAAATGCAACATAACTTAAACTAGCTTACTGCAGAGAGAAAGCTGCAGCAGTTGGTCTTCACTGTGGACTGATGGATACTGTTTACATGTGTGCTGCTTTTCAGCTTTGTTCAGCAACTTTTGTTTTGCTGCAGTAACTTTATTGAAAATAGCAAAACTTACCTGTTTTTAGGGAGTGCCAAAACTGAACCTCAGCTAGCTAGAGATCATACAGGGTCGTGGTTCTACAAGTTATATGCACCAGTAAAAACAAATAATTTAGTTGACATTAAATTAATTTCAGGTTTTAAAAACTTTATGTTAATCTTGGAGTGTGTAGCATGACCAACATCTAAGAAAATACAGGTGGTTTTTAGGCAACTTAGAATAAATCTGGTGCCATATCACTACAACGAATGCTCAGGCAAGTCGTACAAGTCAGTTTAATGCTGAGACAAGTATCCAGCACTCTGCTCTAGATACTTTAGAGAAGACTATACCAAACTGATTAAAAGCACTGTATTAACTTAGTATATAGGAAACTTGATGAAAATGAGAGAGATGAGGCAATCATAAAGTATAGCACCTGTATCGTTTTCAGAAATTAATATTAAGCATGTTTTATTGTAATTCTAAGAGTAACTTCTCAGTGTGACTGGCTCTTTAAATAACTGAAATGCCCTTAAAATGATGCAGGAAGGGTAAGGGACTATGAAATAGTAAAAATGTCCATCTTAAATAATAATCATTGAGGTTACGCTACAGAGGGAACAGAGACTGATGTTGGGAGTACAGAAAGTAAGACTGAAGTAGTAAACTTAAGTTAAACTGCTTACCACCTTAATATTTGACTTAACTGAGAAGATATTATCTAGTAATGGTGAACATGGCACTGCTGTACTGTAGAGCAATCATTTAATTAGCTTATTTTTCTATCTTAGTTATTTTCCACTGTATAAAACTTGGCAAAAACATAAAGTGAAACTTTGAAGCTAGCAGACAAAGCTGTATGATCACACCATCTTTCAAATTTTAATTATGAAGATGTCAAAGAGGATTTATGAAGTTAATGTTTCTGAACAGTCATGATGCTGGTGGTTGTAAAGCTTTTTAACTGCTAGAAAAAATAACTATTAAGTTGAAATGTGTTGTAGGATTGGAATGTAAGCTGAGCAAAAAATGCTTTTGGTCCTAACATGCATTGTTAAAAAAATAAAGCTGTATTTTTAATAAATTCTGTTGTGCTCCTAACCTTTATGTTAATACTCTTGAAGTAGAATAGGGAAATATAAGAGAAGTAGTTGACAGGGACTAAATGATATTCACCAGCTTCTAGTTACAGGAGATGATACATCTTTATATGGATAGGGAAATACGAAAATGGTGTTTGAAGCTAGAGACTTTTTTTAATATTGGTTTTAAGGCACAGATATCTTCACTATTTCTTACTTGTTGTTCAGTGATGTAAAGTTAAACTTTGGTTTGTATAGTTGTCCAGCAAAAGCGAGTCATGCTCCTCATGGAGTTCAGAAGTGATCAAGTGTTGTTGAAGTTCCTGACTTAGTCCTACAGCAACAGGTTTTCCAAAACAAGCTGTCAGCTTGAGACGTAAAACACTTCATCTTGTACTATAGACTTACTCAGGTTTTTTTACACAAGGAATTGAACTTGATTTTCTTGGCTCTGTGTTCCCTCATCTTCATACTGTTTACTGAGGCTTACCCTTTCTCCATTTGCAAGAGAGAGGTGACCTGCAAGACTCACCTTCAGATAAGAACATATTTGCTTCCTCTGTCATCTTTTCAAGTGACTGACTTTGGAAAAGACTACTTCCTGTTAAAAGTAAAGCCAGCCTTTGTTAGCCAGCAATCCTAGCAATTCTAGGAAGATGTGACTCGTAAGTACAGAGTCACTTGCTTGTAGTGTGGATATTGTCAGGGTTAACATAGCAGAGGCTGATCATCGGTTTTGCTTTTGTTTCTTCATATATAGACCTCTTTTCTGAGAGAGCATTGTGAATATGGATGCTCTTGTATTTTCCAAAGTATGTATTAGAAGGGATATTGATAAACTGCTTTTTTCTGCTGTATAGAAAAGGGGGTCCCAGGAGATCCTAACTGCTAACTTGCATGCTTTGAACTTTCAATATTGTTCCTGAATATTCCTTGCAAGCTTGAGGTTATGTTAATGATAAGTTTTTTCTCTTGTGTCCCAAAGAAATGTCAAAATGTTCTACTCGGTGCATGGAAATCCCAGTTAGGAACTGCAGAAGTACACTGAACTTTGAAAATGGGTGGTTGACTCTGATGAAGGAAATTGTCGGTTGCTTCAGGCTGATCTCAATCTTCATATCTGTCATGCTGCCAAAATGGGGGGGTGGGGAACAAACTGAAGATAATCCTAAGGAAAATATTTAACTCCAGTGTGGAACCTGTGCACACAAGATGCTTGTGGGGAGAGGGTCACATAGTGTCCTTACCCACTACTTGACTTTAGAGTGGAAATGGTTGGAGAAACAATGATAAATTAAAATATTTTGAAACCTCAGATGTTCAGAAAGCCTTCTTTCATGGAAAGGCTACTTTACCTGCTGTTATAAGGGAGTTGCAATGCAAGCTTTTCAGCAGTTGAAAGAAAGGGCTGTTTTTATAATGCCCAGCTACAGAGTTATCAAGAACTTTAATTTTTAGGTACTTAGCATCTAAGGGAAATTTAGCAATAACAGCAGGTTAAGAAGCAGAGGTAAATACGTCTCCGTGCAAACATACATGTAATAAGTATACAGGTAGACACTTCTCACTCCATAAAATGAGAACTGCAAAGAGAGAGATCTTGTAACTGGTGCAAAGCCAACTCACTTTTGGACTATAAGTAATTGATAGCAGGTCCTTGTCTAGCAGAAGGCAAAGAAAGGGGTGTGTGAGTTGAACTATGGATCTTGAATTGTGTGGGGTTTGTGTGTTGTTTTTTAAATGGGGAGAACTAGACTTTATCATGTTTTTTGAAAGTAGACAGATTTTGACTGTCTGTATTAATACACAACAACTAGCCAAGGTACTTTCCCTTCCAAAACTGTTTCTGTAATGCTTAAGCTTAAGTGACAAATTTTAGCTGAAGGAGACGTGTGCCAGTATTGAAGTTTCTTCTTCCTTATTATAGAGCTGGTCACCTTACCCCTGAAATACTTCATAGTGGGCTAAATCCAAAATGGTTTGTAGTTTAAAAATATTGCATTCTCTAGTTGATTTTTACAAT